AGATATGATTTGCTGCAAATTTAGAAAGATTTGATTTGATTGATTACAGATTTGAATAAATTTAGGAAAGATTAGATTTGAATAAATTGAGAGAGATTATAGGAGTAATTGAGAGAGATCCTAGGAGTTTGTCTCTCCTATCTTTTCTTATTTAAGTTGTATGCTCAACATGTTTTATCAACACATTGTCAATACAGAAGTATTTCTTTTCTCTCCTTCTTCATTTCTTCTTCTCTTCCTCTTTATTTTTCCACAGAAAATAATATCTGCAAGCTCATAGGAGGGAACCAACTGCATCCAAAAAGGGATAATGCCCATTCCCAAATCACTCTTGCATACTGGCAAGAGACCAACATTTGAAAACCAGTTTCCATCGGCTCTACAGAGAACACACCAGTGAGGAGATAAGCATGTCTTGCTTCTCTCTTTTTGAACAGATCAGTAGTGTTGACTCTTTCCAAAAAAGTTTCCCAACAAAAACTCCCAACCCTAGGAGGAATTGGCTTACCCCAGATCTCTTTGACAGGGAAAGGAGGGTCAATGGGGGTGGGTGTCCAGGTTCTGGTGTCCTCCTTTGTGGGGTTGAAGAAAATATTTTCAAGAAGACCAAGGAGAGTCGAAATGCTGTTCAGGCCTGTGTCTCTAACAGCCCTTCTTAACCCCAGATTGCATCCTAACCCAGTGTTGGAAGAAGATGGGACAAGGTAAGAAGAGATAGGCTCATTTTTCAAATCAGAGAGGGCATAAAAAGATGGAAATTGGTCCTTCAAAGGGGTATTCCCTATCCAAATTTGTTCCCAAAACTTTATGAAATTTCCTGAATTTAATTCATACCTGATCAGAGGGGAGAAAACTGATAGAAAATTGTGTATGGCTTTCAGTCCATTCTCATCCCTTACCATTCCAGAAGGGCCTGGATTGCCTTATAAGCTTCTGTCAAAGTTTAGCTTCAATCTATTAATACTCGGAGGCTTCCAATCTTCATGAGTTTGACTGATCACTGTGGAGTTGGCTGCAATCACTCCCCAAGCTCTCCTGAAATCCTCCACCAAAAAATCCTTGAATATCTCCATTGTATTTACTTGGTGCACAACTTTTAAAACTATGCTTTCAATGATTGCTTCCTTGGACCTGCTAGTCTCTTTGAAAATTCTGTTATTCCTCTCTTCCCAAATAGACCACAAAATTGCTGCTCTGTTGGCCCTCCACATAACTCTAGCTCTTTTTTTAGGCTGTCTAACAAATCCAGGACTAAAGAGGCTTGGAACGTCCTGCAAGCCTGCAACCAAAGAGAGAGCAAAACCATACCCAAATGCATTTCACAAAAGAATAGGGGAATAGTAAATGGGAAACAAGCTCACCATTGGCTTTGCAAAGGATACAGACATGAGGAAAGAGACACCAACTAGGTCTCCTTCTTTGAAGCATAGAAAGAATGAAGTGATTAAAACAATCATTGAGGTCACGCGTAGTCCGACTACCTTTTATATTAACTACTGAACTATAACAAAAAATTACAACTAAAAGAAAGTTACAACTATACCGCTGTCCACCAGTTATATGAAGAACAGTAACAAAACAGCAATGGAAAATTCTATTCTATACCCTCTATTTCGTACTTATAAACCTGACAACATATTTGAAGAACCACTCTTACCACTGTTTCCTTTACATTCAATTACAAAAGTCTCAGAGAAAGCTTAGAGTGCTTTCCCTTGCTTCTCTTTGGGACTTTTTCCTTCAATGACTAGGCATTATAGATGTTAAATTGGATGATGGTTATCATAAACTAGAGGAAATTATAAAGGAATCTTAGATTGTTTGAGGATGAAAAGAACCACTAGTAAGCAATTTGGCTGTAATTTTTTTTTTTCTTTTTCCTGGCTCCCTGTAGCGGAATTGTGTAAGACTTTTTAGACACCTAAACATTGGGGAATCAATTATACAACCTATGTCTTTGTTATTCAGAAAAGTAGAAAAGATAATTTCATCTTTTTTCTAGTATTTATGGTAACCATGATTTGCAATTTCTATTTTGGTGGACATTTATCTAGGTAAAGATGGGGAAATTTTGGGGATAGTTTGCTAATTTTGCTAAGATATTTGGAAAATTTAAAAAGTTAAGGAAATTTTCTAAAAGCGTGGGATAAGTTAACAAACCTTTTAGAATAAGTATAACTGCATATTTAAGGCTCAAAAAACCATAGCCAACAACCATATAAATCGGATACAGAAGATTAAGATATTTAAATAGGTTACTTTCTCAATATCCCCCTTTAGTCTTTTATTTATTTTCTCTTCATTACCATGCCATTAACTTTCCATATTGACTTTTGTCTTTTTTTGTTACTAAACATTTTGATTAAATTGAGAATCCTTTTTTTAGTTGTGTGTCTTCTTTATTTTTCTTTTGAATTATACTTACTAAGTGAATCATATCAAAATAGTAATCCAATCATTCAATTACTAAACCCCCAATTGTTCTTTTAGGAAAAGATTTAAGAAAGAATTATGATTATTTCAGTGAAACATTGGAACATTTCTAATTATATTCTAAAATCCTAAGCCTTAAATGTATAGTCTATCAATGAAATCTGAAATATTGCCAACATATCAATAATGTATTAGAGATATTAGGGAAAACAAGATTCCTGGATAATTTTGTGTCACCCCCTTGAAAATGGGGAGATTTTGGAGAAATTTGCCAAATCTTGCAGATATTGCAACTATGATGGTAACCTTGCTCTTTTGCTTTGTGTAGCAATCATGAATGCCTTTTTTCTTATTTTTCTTCTACCTCTTTTTCCTTCTCTTGTACTGGTCACCATTTTGTTCTGCTTATGATTTGATTTTTTTTTTCTTTTTTATTCCAGAAAATATGGTCTTGATGGCAACACTGTGGACTTTATTGGTCATGCACTGGCACTTCATAGAGATGACCGCTACCTTGATGAACCTGCACTAGATACTGTGAAAAGAATGAAGGTAAAATGAAGCCCACAGCCTTAGACACACTTTATGTATGCTTTTTAGCTTTTATTTCTTGAACAATGAAAACTCCATTTTTCCTTACTTGAATATTTAATGTTTCATTTCTTTGTAGCTTTATGCGGAATCCTTTGCACGCTTTCAAGGAGGATCGCCATACATATATCCCTTGTATGGATTGGGGGAGCTCCCACAGGTTGATTCCCCCCCCTCTCTCCCCCAAAAAAAATCCCTTTGAACCTCAAACCATTTTAAAGCTTCATTTACTTACCTTGGAGTTTACTCTTTCTTTAGGCATTTGCACGACTCAGTGCTGTTTATGGTGGGACCTACATGTTGAACAAACCTGAGTGCAAGGTATTTTTCTTTCCTTTTTCTGGTAGAATTTGCAGTACCACCTTTTCCCAGTTTCATTCTCATTTAGATTGTAGACTAGGTTTCTTAAAAGTTTTTCTCAGTTTGGAATCTTGACTTAAACAGTCATTTATTGCTGGGATTCCAGGTGGAATTTGATGAGGAAGGAAAGGTTTATGGTGTCACTTCAGAAGGGGAGACTGCAAGATGCAAGAAAGTTGTTTGTGATCCTTCCTACTTGCCCAACAAAGTAAAATTTTCTTCTTTAATACGTAAAGCATTACTTGTATTACTATGCAAAAAAAGAGCAAAACAACATATATAAAAGCTACAGGATTTAAGAACTATAGTTCATGTAAAAGATATACATCTATACACTTTCAGCAAAGGGGGAAGTAATGCCATTCCAGCAATTACAAAAGATGATATAAGTTCATTTCATTGAAATCAGCCAAACCAACAACCCAAATGCTTCACTTTTGTCTTCAAATATGCTTGTTCTTTTAGTTCTTTAAAATCCAGAAATTAGCGAAAGATTCCAAGTTCTACAAGATATGATCCTTTTTACTGAACCCATTCACTTGCCATTCATCAAGAAGAGATGAAAAATGTTAGGTTGAGGGGTTTTATGTATTGATGGTTCGGCTGATAAGTGTTCTTATTAGTCTGTATTTGTGTTTAATTTGTTATGTACTGGGCCTGTGTTAATGGGCTTAAGTTTATTTGCTGTTTTAAGTAGTCTGGGTGTCCCATCACTAATCAGGGGCATTCCAGACATTTCCTRTAACRTTGTACTATAGTCTAATATAAATAATAGTACTGTCGACTGGGTTATTCAGTTCGACATTATCAACACCTCTTGGTCTTCTTCTCTCTTCTACTTCTTTGACTGCAACATTTCAGCTTTCATGCTATCAGAGCATTGAGCACTTTCCTGGTTGCAGCCGATGCCATCTCTTCTTTCTTGCTGTCTTTCTTTCTTTGTTTTATCTTGATTGCTGCAGTGAAACCCTAGGGTTGCAGGAGAACACTACAAGGTTCGAACCTAGGGTTTCCTTTGGTTGTAGGGCGCAAGGGAAGAAGACCCAGAAGTTGATGTCCTACTAGACTGTTTCTAGTAGTTAGTAGCTATTCGGCTGCTAAGAGAGGTCTGTATAGGACAGACCTAGTTTGAGGACTGATTTCTACAGTCCTAGTATTGGCCGTAGGGGGAGGAACACTCTCTACAGTTGCAGTAATCGAAGCTAAAG